GCCTAGGTCACCTAATAGGTTGCACTGGCCCTGGCACCAACTCCACACAGTCTCAAGAAGCAAAGCTTCTCTGGTCTGACTATCTGACTTTCTGCTACGCATGGTTCCTTTGCCCAACAAGTACAGCACAGTATCGGTATGAGGCGATCCTCAGCTAACCTCTCATCAGCACAGAACACAAGCAAGTCCTTGTTGCCTTTTACAAGGCTGTTTTTTCTGGTTTCAGGATAGGACCTGACAGACCAACTTCACAGTGCGTTCTCTGGGATACTTCTAGTGGCTGCAGGTAAAATAAATTCCACTGCTAATCAGCACGAAGGGGAAAGTCACAGACACCAGCATCCTCTGGATCAAAAAGCATTTCCTTTTCACCAAGACATAATTTCACTGCTGGTCTTTGAAACGAACTCTCACCACAGGCAAAATTCTGCCTCTTGTTCCACACCTGTGTAACCCCATTTACATCACTGAAGATGAGCAGGTGAAACCGAGGGCAGAATATTACCCTGCCTGCATCATGTCTACTATGAGTTTCTCTCTCCCCAGCATTTAAGGTGAAGTGGAGAACTTCTGTAAAAAGAAAGAAACTGCTGACCTAACCAGGCCAATACGCCCTGTGTGCGCGTCTGTATTTCAAACGCAGCGTTTGAAGGATCTGTTCCTTCTTTACTTAATCTTATATGGCCCCATTGCCATAGTATCTGAGCCCCATAGTCTATAATATAGTTACCCCCACAACACCCCTGTGAGGCAGGGCAGCGCTATTATGCCCATTGTATAGATGAGGAACTGAGGCTAAGTGACTTGCCCAATATCACGTCACAGAGGAAGTCTGTGGCAGAGCAGGGAATTAAGCATGTCTCCCCATTCCTAGGCTAGTGCTCTAACCACTGGGACAGCCTTCCTTTGTCAAAGTCCTGTTACCTCCAATAGCTGACAGCCTCACAGACCCCCTAGAACACAGCAAGAAGAGCAAAATGACCCTTGATCTATTTGTAGATGTTTTGTGAAATCACTAGCTGCCTTTGGAAAATCACTAGTTCCTTCATGCAGAAGCTGGCAGGTACCCATTTAACCCCAAAACCACTGATGTGAGTGGAAAGGGCTTTGGATCAGGTCTTAAGTGAAAGAGGAAATGGTTTACAAGTCCTTTGTGTAAAATGGACATCCAGGTTTTCTAATCTTATCAGTTTTAAAGATTTAAAAACTTAAAATGCTTTAAAGAGTACTTTGCAAGTACAACTAGAAAAGAAGGTTACTTCTAGACTAAAAACTAGGACCATTTTATTCAGCTGTGTGTAGTTTTACTTGAATTTCCAGAAATCCTAAATTCACATAGCTTCCAGTAATTTCATCAGGAGTAGTAGGTTCTCAACAGCTCTATAATCAGCCACTAACTATATATTTAACTCCTCCATAGCCCTAGCCTCACAAAGCAGACAGAGGCAAGAACTCGGGTGTCAATAAGTTCCTTTATACAAACACTGAGAACTCTACTATATTTCAGCTATCTGAAAATCATTTTAGGCCAACTCTGAATTCCATGCACAGTCGATCTGGAACTGAAAGTATACTTGGAGGGCTGTAATGTTTCCTTAAAAGAAAAGAATGCACAGTGTGTCATCCTCAGGGTGTTCTAAGAATGCACGGATCATTACATTGCACAACTAGATGTTTCCTCCAAACATAAACTATGGCTAAGAGATCAAACACCAAAATCAGCTTCTTAGAAAGGCAGTTTGATCAGTTTAGAACGCAAACACCAAAAGGGCAGTCTCACTTTGTTGTTACATTTTGGGAAAACCACAATGTTTGGCTTTACTTGCTTAACTGATGGGTCCTATTTACCAATACAGACCTACACAGTCTTATTCTTCCTTATAAGTTTCTCCCCACACAGCAGTTTGCAGGATCAGGGCCTTGGGCTCTACCTGAGGAAAGACTTACATAGGTGGTGAGCTTTAACTGAATGGGACTATTCATCTGCATAAACAGGACTACTAATGTGTAAAGTTAAGCACTTGCTTAAATCTTTGCAGAATTGGGAGTAAGTTTGTACTCAACACCAAAGTCCTTGAATTTTGATTGAAAGTGTCGGAGAAAAACAGAGTTCTCACTCTCTTTTTTGGGTGCAGCAAGTGTACAGTGCAATCAATAGTTTTTCAGTATTTCCTTAAAACATACAAGTTACTATAGGCAAGAAGTCACAACAGCTGAAAACATTACTAGAAAACATAGCAAAACCCACTCATGGAACAAAAGCAAAGGCAGTCCTAGGATAGAGAGGATGGTTGAAGTGCATACATTTAGGACTTGAGATGACCTGCTATTTATCTTTGAGAGTTGTCCAGTTGAATTTATGTTTGGAAAAATATTACACCCGGATACCCTTGCTACCAATAACATTCCCTTGCCTTTGTTACCAATAAAACCTGAGGTTATTAGAACAGGCCACATGTTTAATATCTACTCATCAACATATAGGCTACTTGTTTATGTCCACAGTTAGCTCAGTGTGGACAGCAAAGACAGAAGAGCCAGCTTCATTTGTATTTCTAGTCAATTTCATTCTCTGGTTTCCCATGCACTTCTAGAGCAAATACCACAAATGCCTGGATTGTAAAAGCCTAAAGGGAATGTTTTTAAAACAAAAAAAACAAACAAAAACACTTTTCAGTAAAATAAAAAGAATTTGGAAACATTTCTGGTTCTGATCATTTTTTTTAAAGTTCAAAAACCTTAAGATCCAATCTTGCCGTGCAGCAGGACCACTGCACCTGTGCACAAGCCCAGTGGCATCTCTGGGGGAAAGCTGTGTACACCCATGCAGATCTGATTGCAGAATTTGACCTATAACTACTTGACAGAGCCCCTTTAACAGATGAGCCTTAAAAGGAATCATATAGGGTTATGACACCCTCTGGCCCCAATCCTACTATGTAATCTGCTAACACATGCCTGAGCCAGTGAGGGATCCCAACCCCATTGGCACTGCACAGGAGTAGGGACCCAGCATCAGATTGCGCTGCCAGCTGGGGGAGGAAGCTATGCTATCATGCTATGGTTAAAATAGAATTCAACAGAGCTTTGTAGAATTCTTCTCACCTAGGGCAAGTCATTTTTTTTATTTGTGTCAGATGAGTAAGATCATGGTTTGTTTTGTTTTTTTAAATCATGGTAGAAGGTGGGCAAGATTTCGTCTCTGGGCTAGTAAGTGTTCAGGGCAGTGTTTGAAGCCCAATCCCATTCTCTAAAATACCAACATTAAAGGGACACAGTCACCTTAAAACAGGGGTCGGCAACCTTTCAGAAGTGGTGTGCCGAGTCTTCATTTATTCACTCTAATTTAAGGTTTTGCGTGCCAGTAATACATTTTAACGTTTTTAGAAGGTCTCTTTCTATAAGTCTATAATATAACTAAACTATTGTTGTATGTAAAGTAAATAAGGTTTTTAAAATGTTTAAGAAGATTCATTTAAAAATTAAATTAAAATGCAGAGCCCCCTGGACTGGTGGCCAGGACCCGGGCAGTGTGAGTGCCACTGAAAATCAGCTCACGTGCCGCCTTTGGCACACGTGCCATAGGTTGCCTACCCCTGCCTTAAAACCAAAACCATTTCCATCTGAATTTTGTACACGAGTTCGTTACATGCCACACCTAATAGGACTATCAACTAAGGGAGACTGGAGGTGGAATACTTCCATTTTGCCAGTTTACTTTTCTATAATTCACCATTTCCTATGGACACACACTTCCCACTCTTTTTGTGGGTCTGTCACACAGCAACAAGGGAAAGATACTTTTAAAAAAACAGAAAAAAAAATGTGATTCTAGAGCCACACCAGTTAGCAAGAGGTAGGGATGGACTCAAGGGCAGATCTAGGACCTGAAGCTACTTTTAATGCAGTTTTTTAAAAACAACTGACTAGATTCAAGCTGATGATGCCCCATTAAGGGTGTGAATGCTAATCATCCCCACGTGGAGTATTTTCTGGGTGTCTAATATACAGGGTTTACTTCAAATACTGTCTGCATCCCAGTCTCCTTTTACCTGTGACATCTGTGGCCTGAAATTGATGTCCTTGAGATCAATAGATCCAGGTGACAGGTTATGAAGCAGCTGGCAGAGCAAGACTCCATCTCTCAAAGCCTGAGCCAGGTCAAACACAACAGCTGAGGGCCAGACCACCCTGTGGTTCAGGGGCAACACTTTACAGTCGATCAGCCAGCGGCCACACTGCCTCCACTCCTCCATAGTCGTTCAGAGAAATGGATCCTTCCCAAAAAGTTGCCCTAGATGAGTTGCCAGCGGCCAAAACTCCGGTTCCCGTCCCCTCTCCTGTTCATTGAGGACACACACCAGCAGCTGGCAGCAGTTTCTCCTCCTTGGATTTGGAGGCTCCCGGGCTAGTTTAGAAGCTTCCCCTGGCAAGCCCGTAAAGCGCTATTGCTCCTTTCCATTTTGATGTGCAGCCAGTGCGGGAAGCATCTCGGGGGGGGTGGGGACACGACACTTCCAAGACTCCTTTTTTATCACTCCCCGGCGGGGTTTTTGGCAGCTTTACTTCTTCCCTATCAAATGCTCCATAGATCCCAGCTCAGCGGCTCCTCGCAGCATCTCTCTCCCCACGCGCCGGGTTCGGCTCCCTCGTCCAGCTCAAGCCAGGAAAGGAGAGAGACACGCGTGGGGGGCTAAAACCCACCCCCGCCTGCCCCCTCCCCTCAGGTGGCTCCTGCTTGCGGGGGGGGGGTCGCTTGTCTCTCTCCAACCTCCCCTTGGAGTTGCTGGACTTCCCCTGCCCTCTTCTCAATGGGGCTTTGTCTGGGGCTCCAGCCGGCCAGAAGTGGGTTCACGTGGCAAACAAACAAAGACCCGCCACCCGGGGGGACGGGGCGGCACACAGCCCCGGGGCTCTCCTCTGCGGCGTGCCGGCGCTGGGCAAGGCACCAAATAATACCACAATAATCAGCCCCTCCTCGCGGCTCTGGCTCGTCCGCCTCCTCTCTCCGGAGAAAGCCCCGGAGCGCAGCGCATTTCTCGGTCGCCCCTTTGCCTCCGAGCTGGCTGGGGGCGCAGGGGGGCCCCCCTCTCTCGCCTCCCCCCTGAGGAGGGGCGGCGGGGATCCGCGGGCAGCGCTGTCCCAGCCACAAAAGCGGCCCCCCCCCCCTGCTCCGGGGAGGGGGGGCTACAATCCGGCAACTCTCCCTGGCAGGGGGCGGTGGGAAGCAGACAAAGAAGCAGACGCGCCGCGGGGATACAATGTTGCCCCCCTTGGGCGAGGTGCGGCGGCGGCTCCCGCTTCCCTTTCTCCCCTCGGGGTCCCCGGCTGGGGGTGGTAGCTGGCCCCCCGCCCGCTCCGGTCTCCTGCCCGGCTGTAGCTCAGGGCTGGGGAGAAGGAGGAGCTCGGTGCGCCGCCAACAGCGGCGGCTCCCCTCCCCTCGCCCAACTCAACTTCCTCCCCTCGCAGGAGGAACCTGGTAAGGGGCAGCCGGGGCTGGGCCCCCTCCAGACCGCCCCTGGCAGAACCAGAGCCACGCTGCCCGGGGGGGGCTGGGCCTGCCTTGGAGGAGTCTCCCCCCATGGGGCGCTGGGGGGCTGGCCGGAGCGCAGGGAGACTCCCGGCTGCTGACACTGATTTTGTAAGACAGAGGGTCAGGCCTGGCGCGGAGGAGTGATATTTTTTTGGCGTTAAAATGTTTCCATGGAAACATGTAAAGAGAGACTGCCCGGTGAAGTCACAGACCCCGGGTCACCTTCTCTCTCCCCCCCACCGCTTCCCAGCCATTGCAGATCCCTGCCTGTGACTCGTCTCCTGGGACTGATTTAAAATCAGGCCCAGGCTTAAGGACCTTGCTGCTTGGGGCCTAGATGATTCACTCCTCACCTTTGCTTTTTGCCATTCATGGTTTCGGTTTAGCGGTGTATTTCTATTGCCTTTTTCTCGGCCTGGGAGAATAGACACAGGCTGGTCAATTTCAGCTCTGGTTTACACTCAGTTTCACTTATTATTCATTTGTATCACAGTAGTATCTAGAGCAGTGGTTCTCAACCCCCAGGCTGCTTGTGGCCCAATCAGCACACAGCTGCAGCCCATTTGACATCCTCAGGGCCATACAGGTAGTATATATATATTGTGTGGCTATGGCCCACATAACACATAGAGAGCTACATATGCAACCCACTATGGTAAACAGGTTGAGAACTACTGACCTAGAGGAATCAACCAAGATCAGGGCACGATTAGGCTAGATGGTGCAGAAACACTTGAGCTGAGAAAGAAGGCAGTGTTGTTATCCCCATTTTACAGATGGGAAACTGAAGCAGAGAGAGAGCAGATTTTCAGAAGTTCTCAGCTCCCATTTAGAGACTAAAATAAGCGGTCAGATTTTCAAAAAAGCTCAGTAGCGGGAGGGCTGACTGGTTTTGAGCATCTGACCGTACATGTCACACTGGGAGTTGTGGAAATTTGGCCCTAAGTGGCTTCCCCAAGGTCAAACTGAGGTCTGTGATGGAACCAGGAGGCGAAGTCCTTTTAATCTTATCTTTGGGTTGTAAATACTGCAGGGAAATGTTTAACCCAAACAAAAAGTGTTCATTAACTTTTGAACAATGTTCATGGCAACCCTTCTAAAAGCCAGGATCTAGTTATTTATTACAAAACTGAACTCTCAGCCTTAAACTCCTTGGCGGCATCCTCTAAATTTCACCTGTAATCTTCTGCACACTCTCCCATCGCGAGTCAGACAAACACAGTTTAGACAAACCTTTTTTATTCTGTTTTTTCCCCCCTTCCCGGAGAGCTTCTCCCTCATTTACTTACCATCCAGGGTTTCTACAGGAAAAATGGAAGCTTTGGCATGGATAGTGAAATGAAGAGGAACTATTCATCCGCTTGTCAGAGAAATGCAACGATCACCTCTCAAATTTATTCAGGTGCAGACACAGAAGGAATTTTTCTTCCAGCACGATTCAACAGGGGAAGAAGAACAGCACTACAGCATGCTGAACTATTATTTAATTTCCTGGAAGCAAATTTCTTATGGCCTAAGACACCAGTTACCTGGCTGCTCCTGGTATGTTATTGATCAGACTGTGTATGATAGCTGGTCTGCCCTGGCAGAATATAGATATACTAAAGGCTGAGAGGGAGCAACATCTCAATTAGTTTGTATATACATTTCATATTCAGAGCTACACCCTGCTACGGGGTTAGGCAAATATGTGCTGTGTAGACTACAGTATGGAATTTCTAATTCCCCAGGAACATGATTTCTTATAGCAGCTTTCAGGTTCTTTTTGTTCTTTGTCATGGTTTTCACTGGCACACTGCTAGAGCTCTAACAGCACCAGTTGGGCAAGAATCATGTTACACCTAGGATCCATCTGGCTCAATGTGTACTAGACTGCTTTATGAGATCGGTTCTGGAGGTGGAGGACTACAGCTCAGTGTATTACATGTATATATGTAATGCCTCTAGCTACATCTTGGCTTTTCACTGCTTCATAAAATGTGTGCTTTGCTTCTGGACACTTAGGAGCAATCACTGCATCTGCAAAGTTCGCATCTGCATACAAGGTGCAGCTCCAGGCTAGTTTCTCACCTACCTCTGCAACAATAAAAAATGGCTGCTAGCAGAGGTATTTTGATAACAGCTAAACTCCTTTAAGGCAAACCAAAGAAAATAACGCACACCCGCCCTATACTTTGCGACTACTTTATATGTCTGTTTTAAAATAGACAAAATATTTCAAGGAAAGCACTGGAGAAATGCACCTATGGTAGGTGCTGTTTGCATGCACCTAAGCTGAAAAGCAGCCTCTATAAATTATACAATAGTGGGTTCAATTCTGTGATAGATCTCCTTCTTCCCCTCTGCCTATTGGCATTGTTGGGAGTGATAGCTAGCATTAAATTTGTTACTGAGCCAACTGCTGGAGGCGTTTCACAGACAGATGCTTATCTGCTGCCCTCTACTGGAGACAGAATGTTAACATTTGTATTGCCTCCAGTGTACTGTTGTTACCTTCCCATCCACACTAGCTAAGCCTATAGAGATTATTATCTTCAAGGAGAGATTAATTGTAATAATATTTTGGCTTTTCATCCCAAGGTGCTTCCTTATCTATATACAATACAACTTATCTGCAGCCACCTTTGTGGTGGAGGATAGCAGCCAGCCAATACACAGCATGCTGTACACTAGTGCAAGAAGGGAGTATTTTGGCTGGGAAAAGCAGTAGGTTTTTTTTTTTTTTTTTTTTTTTTTTTAAAGCAGCAATAGGACTTTTATTAGCCAAGCAGTGCAGGGGCGACCTGGGTTATTTTCAAAATCTCATCTGACACACACACACAAGTGCATGGAATTCAACCATTCCACCTTGGAACAATAAAAGACTAGAGCTGACACTGCTGCAGTTTGAACAAATGATTTCAGGGAATATTTTAAACCTGGATCTTAGAGCACAAAGCTGTCCTCTAACTTAATCAGGCCTTTCTAGTGATAACTGTGAGAGCCTCCTATAGCTAGAAGACCCCATGAAGTCCACTGCAGACCTTACTACAATACTTTACAGGGAAGCATTTAGATACAATGGTAGTGGCTCTGCAGAAACCCTAAAAGAGATAGATTAGATGGAAGTGCTTGTGAACTGGCTAATATGTATTAACACTGCCATCTTCTGGATGGAACTGGAAGTGCACTGATTTATCATAACCTTTATACTGCTAAAGCTAATGGTGATTCTTTTGGCTCAAATGTTAGGGGCCAGCATTTTTGGAACAAAAGGATCTACGCTTGCTGTTACCGTGATGTTCAGAGTGGCCATGACATGCAGCATGCAAACAGCTGTGAAGCTGTAGGTGCCCAATGAGTTGCTGCAGTAGATTTACTTAACTCCCTGACTCACTTTGTTTTTGTTGACTAGAATAACTGGCTATTTTATAAAATAGGGTTGAGAGTCACATATAACTTACGAGACTAGCTGCTGCACACCAGTTATCACTATTTCTCTGTCACCAGGGTGTCCTGGGCCTAGGCTGCGTGAAAGAGGGAAGCTATGGCAGGGTCTGGCTGCCCCTTCTCTCAGCTTCCTGGTGGCTGGCTCCCCTAGTCCTGGGTGCTGCTCTGCTAAGCTGTCACACATCAGCATACCCACTAGGTGCAGACAAGAATTGTACCCAGCTTCACCACTGCTGCAATGAGTCTGATCTTCCTGCACAAGCAACCTCCATCTCCGAGAATAGCTACTGTTAGCCTCTCGTCCCTCTCCCTTGCTCCTATCCCTGGAGGAGCCACACATGACTAGGTTCTTATAAATGCCAAGGCCTGAAGGAACCATTGTGCTCATCTAGTCTAACCTCCTGTATAACATGGGCCATAAAACTTCCACAAGTAATTCCTAGAGCAGATCTTTTAGAAACATCTCATCTGGATTTAAAAATTCTTGGTGATGGACAATGCACTACAACCCATGATAAATTGTTCCAGTGGCTAATTATTAATGCTGCAACTGTCACTGGGGTATATAGATGGCACTTGCCCTTCCAACACCATCACCCTTTTTCATGGACACAGTCATATTAATACCTACCTTTCATCCACAGCGCTCTGCCTTATGATCAGAGAGTAAATGAACTGAAGCTGGACAGCACATCATGGTCTTAAGGGGTAGAGTAGACTGGGTTGCATAGTATTGTAATATTATAGTGTAACAAGTCAGGAGAATGGAGAGGCTAAAAGCCATTTATAGGGAAAGAAAAATAGACGCTCTGTAACAAATTGAAAGATATCAAAATTTCCTTTGGAGAATGGGAGTCAGGCATTTGCCAGCATCAGAGTGGTGTTTGCCTGTATAATACCTATTGCTGTTTGAAAACATTTATTTGGAAAGTGCACTTGTTGGCAGACAACGCAGGGATTCAGAGAGAACAAGGGGAGGATCAAGTAGACAGACATAGACAGCAGTTGACTTTTGGAGGCCTACAGCTTTCAATTCTTTTCCTTTTGTTAGCTTTGCAACTTAATCACTTCAGTTACTGGGGGTTTTATTTTGCTGTGGGCTTGATGATGACGCCACCAATAGTTTTGGAGAAGCTCAAGATACCTTGACCATGCCAAAAAATAAATCTGGATCCACTAAAGATTCTGCATTTTGCTCTCAAACTCCCACAAGCTGGAGCGTGAGCCAGTCTGCTTTCTCTTCCATGCTAGTAGGAGGCACAGACCTGACTTCACAAGCACTGTCAGAGTATTTGAATGGGAACATTTCTGCAGGTTCATTCATTCCTTTTCTTCTCAGGTCAACACTTTTGGATGCAG